CTGCAAATTATTTTGAGCCATAAACGTTTCTAGGTTATCCTGTCTGTCAAGAGAGGACAATTATTGTTAAAGTAATTAGTTATCCATTTGACATCACAGAGGGTATTAACCTAAAGGAGGAATGAAATGCTCCTTAACTTTAAAGTAATCAAGTGGTAATCAAGTAATCAAGTGGTGGTAACAAAGAAAAAAGAAATAGTATGTTTCAATATTTCCTGGCTATTTTAATAAGATTTTGTGGCTTAAGTTCTTCCTTTTATCATGGCTCGGAGCCCATGAATTAAGGATGCTTGAGTCAGAATGATCAAAATGTTAAGAAGTCAAATCTGCAATACTCTGTTACTTATTAATTTCTGGTGGATTTTACAAAGAGGTAATTTAATAGTTTTAAACAAGGAATGACTCAATGACATCACTCAACATCTGACCTATATTCATTTTTTTTTCTTTTTTATGAGGACTGCCATCTTGAATCAAACCAGTAGTCCTCTTAGAGGCAAGCATTCTGGACTGTGGCCATTGCTAGATTCTTTACAGCCATGGTCACCAACCCATTGATCGTGATTGACTGGTTGATCACAAGGGCTCGACCAGTTGATTGTGAGACATTCGGGGCCCCCAATTTTCCCCCCACCGCCAAGAAGCCCCACTACCTACCTCCAGCGACAATGGAGGTAGTGCTGGCTTCCTGTGTGGACGGAAGTCCTGCAGCTGTGTGCCACTTCCGGGGGCTCTGGAAATGTGCTGGCTGTTCCCCTCCCCCAGGTTTGTGGCGTGCCGGGAACTTGCGAGGAACTGGGGGGAGTTCCCCTTAAGAGGTGTGCACCACGGCTTCCCTGCTCTGCGAGAGGAGGGAGTCGTCCCTGAAGGAGGTGCGCACCGGGCATCCCTCCTCTGTGGGAAGGGAGGGGGAAGGAGTCCTGGGAGGAGGAGGATGCGGCGAACACCCTGGCTCCACTGGCACCCTGCCCCCGGCACCCTGTCCCCTCTCCCCTGGCCCCCACTGGCCTCCTGCCACCACCCCAGCACCCTATTCCCTGCCACCACTGACACCGTGTTCCCTACCCCAGCACCCACTAGCACCCTTCCCCAGTATCATGTCCCCTGCTCCCACCAGCACAGTTGGGGCCACATTAGTGAGGCTTAGAGGGTTTTTGGAGGAGAAATAATTGTGTGTTGCTTATAACGCTTCTATAAATACATTCCAGGGTGATGTTCATTTTTTTTTTTTGCAATAGTGTTGCATCATTGACTCATATTTTAGCTTGTGGTCCACTATGGCCCCCAAATCCTTTTTAGTAGTACTCATTAGACAAAAACAACAAGGAGTTCTGTGGCACGTTAGAGACTAACAGATTTATTAGGGTGTAAGCTTTTGTGGGAAAAACTCGGGATGTTAAGTAGTGGTTAATAAGCAAATCGAGTAGTCTATGGAATCGACTTGATTAGTTGATGAGAGGCTTATCTTAAATTTAGATTAATCAACTAATCGAATAGTGGATGTAATTTGCAACTATTCTATTAGTTGATAAGGGTGCCTCCGCCTTTGAAATGTAGCAGGAGTCTTGCTTTTGAAATGTACAAGAGCCCCAGGAGGACTCTTGTACATTGCAAAAGCAAAGCGCTGCTGGGAGCGTGGGGCCAGTGGGGAGACTGTTTAAGTCCCCAGCTCAACCAGGCTCCAGAAAGCGCTTCTGCTTTTGAAATGTAGCAAGAGTCCTGCTCTTGCTACATTTCAAAGCTGGAAGCACTGCCAGTTCCCCATTGTGCTCCTGCCCTTTCTCCCCTTGGAGATGGTCCTGGGGGGAACTGGCTTTTAAGCTGGCTCCCTCCAGCTCGAGATCCTGCTCCCCCTTACTGCCTCTCTCTGATAGAGGCAGCAAGGAGGGGGAAGTGACTAGTCGACTAGTTGCTTGCATCCCTACTCTGGGGTGTGTGGCTGGTGCTGGAGGGATAGTGGAGGGGTGGGTAACTCTAGGGGTGAAGGCTGGCTCTCGGTTTTTGGAGGACTAGTAACATTTTCTTTGTGTATTTGCATATTCATCATTTCCACAGTGAATAGGCAAATATGCAAATAAAATGTTACTGGGCTGCCAAAAGTTTGTGAATGGGTTTACTGGTCCCAGGTATCAAAAAGGTTGGGAACTGCTGATTCACAGCATTTAGAGTGGAGATGTGACTATCCAGAAAGGGTTAAGCATTAACCAGTTGAGATCCTTATTCAATCCTAATTTGATAGTGTTGAATTTGCAAATGAATTCCAGTTCAGCTGTCTCCCTTTGTAATTGAGTTTTGAAATTCTTTTGTAGAAGAATGGCTTTTTAGACCGTCATTTCCCATTTGGTATGTGTGTAACTGATTGTTCCTTCCTAAATGGAGTACAGGCAGTCCCCGGGTTACGTACAAGATAGGGACTGTAGGTTTGTTCTTAAGTTGAATCTGTATGTAAGTTGCCTGCTCTGGGGTGTGTGGCTGGTGCTGGAGGGATAGTGGAGGGGTGGGTAACTCTAGGGGTGAAGGCTGGCTCTCGGTTTTTGGAGGACTAGTAACATTTTCTTTGTGTATTTGCATATTCATCATTTCCACAGTGAATAGGCAAATATGCAAATAAAATGTTACTGGGCTGCCAAAAATTTGTGAATGGGTTTACTGGTCCCAGGTATCAAAAAGGTTGGGAACTGCTGATTCACAGCATTTAGAGTGGAGATGTGACTATCCAGAAAGGGTTAATTATCTTATTAACGCATTAACCAGTTGAAATCCTTATTCAATCCTAATTTGATAGTGTTGAATTTGCAAATGAATTCCAGTTCAGCTGTCTCCCTTTGTAATTGAGTTTTGAAATTCTTTTGTAGAAGAATGGCTTTTTAGACAGTCATTTCCCATTTGGTATGTGTGTAACTGATTGTTCCTTCCTAAATGGAGTACTTTGCATTTATCCCTATTGAATTTCATCCTGTTTACTTCAGACCATTTCTCAATTGTCCCGATCATTTTTTAATTTTCAATTCTGTCCTCTAAAGCACTTGTAGTCACTCCTAGCTTAGTGTCATCTACATACTTTGTAAGTATATTCACTTCACCATTATCTAAATTATTGATGAAGATATTGTACAGAACCGGACTTAGAACCAGTCCCTGTGATCCCCACTCATTATATCTTTCCAGAATGCTGTGAACCATTGATAATTACTCTCTGGGAATGATTTTCCAATCGTTTTGCATCCATTTACAGTAGCTCTATCTAGGTTGCATTTCCCTAGTTTATAAAAAGGTCATGCAAGATAGTATTCAAAGCTAAACTAAAGTCAAGATGTACCACATCTACTGATCCCGCTCCCCCATAATCTCCATTGTCTTGCAGGTGGGCTGCAGGTTCAGGGCTTGCCCCACCGTCTGTACTGGCACTCCAGCCCTGCAACCCTATCCCCTTGAGTGCTAGTGCTAGCTTCCCGTTTTGTGGGGGTGGGGGAGCCTTGTAGGCCAGATATGAAGCGGCTATGCGCATTGCATGACTCTACACTAAAGCATCTTTTGAAAAGGCATCAACAAAGGCAGAAGAACCTAAATCAATAAAGTAGAAAAACTAAATCCGCTACAGTAAAACTCCAGTGGCCCAGCACCATCTGGAACCCGGACGTGCTGGACAGTTGGAGCTGCTGTGCCCCCAGCTTTCCCGATTCAGCCGCTGCTGAAACTGACCAGCGGCTGACTCTGGGAAGCCCGGGGCAGAGCAGCTGGGGTGGTCCTGCAGCGCCGAAGGGCGCATCCCCCCCCTACTCCACTCCAGACCCCTCATAACTCCCCCCTTCCAGTAGTCTGGCATATTTGATAATCCGGCACCCCCTGGGTCCTAAAGGTGCCGGATAATCAGAAGTTTACTGTATTAACAATGAAGACAGTAATTATATAATTTACCTAATGTAAATTGGTGCAGCTTCACACACACTGGGGAATACCTTTAAGGAGGAAGATTCTTTCATGTAAAATGTGATTTGCTTACCCATAATCCAAAAACTACTTGCATAGCAATTTAAATAACTGTATGTCAGGAGGGGCAAAATTTACTGAGCCTTTGAGCTGCATACAAGAATCTTCAGAAGTTTGGGAGCCTCAAGACACGCACAACTGCCCCGTGTTGTGGCATCTGCTGGAATGCTGGGTTCTGCCCTGACACCATTCCCACGAGCAAAACCCCCTCCCCCCCCGAAGGGCAGAAACCCTTAGTCCCACTACCTGTCCTCAGGACACAAGCCCTGAGCTCCCCCTGCTCACTTTAGTAAGTGGAGAATGAGGGGGTAGGGGGGAACTCTGGGAACTACACTCTATCTGTAAAAGAGCAGCATGCAGCTCATGAGCCACAGTTTGGCCACACCTGTTATATATTTTAGCAGATATTGTACAAATTAACATCTGTATAACCATGTTTGTAACATTTCCTATGCTGTTTGCTTAGCTGTGAAATAAACTTTCAAATATGCAGCAACATTTTGTGGAGTTTCCAGAGCGACACGCTTATTAATCATGCCATTCTTATGGTAAAATCAACACTTCTAGAGAGAACCATTTATAAGAAGTGGGCTATCAAATGTGTGCATCATGACATCCTATCAAATCTTTTGAAATCCCTTTTGAGCTTTCTGGCCATTCCACATGGGAAGGTGCATGCTGAATTTACTGTTCCTCCATTTGAACAATGTGATTGCCTTACTAGCAGTCCAGCCAATCTGTCTCCATAATAAATTATTCTGGCTTCTTGCAAAATGACTTGCCTCTTCTACTTCAACCTACCAAACCCCTCCCCCCAATTTACTGAGGCTTTTTGAAATTATTGGAATGAATGTTGCAATATGCTTTCCACTATCTTGCGCCATATTGGTTCAGTGTTTGCAAGTAAGTAAATGGGTAGGCATACAACTAAAGACAGAGAATAAGTTAAAAATGCAAGTTTAATCTATCTTGTTATTTGCAGTGACATTAAGCTTGATTTAAAATGAAGAACAGATATTCCATTTCAGGTAACTAATGTGCTAGTGTGAATCATATCTCTGTTGGCACCTTTTATATTTGTCACAGATGAAAGCTCTTTTAGATGTTTTGCAAATGCTATTTAAAAAGGGAAAAGTGGCCCTTGAGAAGGATTGACAAATAGCATCTCAATACATAATCATGCTCATGCATATTCCCATATGTCCCCTCACTTCATGCACTGGTTAAATTATCTCTCACACCTTATTTCTCAGTTGTTTTTTGTGTAATCTTCTGTTTAATTTTTATAAACCTGTTTTTCCCTTTCCCTTTCCCTTCCCTTCCCTGACGGCTTCCATTCCGTGTAGCTACACAGTGGCCCTTTGGGAGTCTGTTACAGATTTTCTTGATCCTGAGCCAAGAGCAGTGAAACCAATGGAGAGAAATGCTTTTGCAGGCTGTGCTGCAGTCCTCCTGCACATGTGGAGTGCTCCCATAGCCAGATGGCTATCTTTAAGCTTTGTTGTTCTATTTAAGCCACACCTCTTTTTTACGGCAGGGAGGGAAGACAAGTGTCTTTCAAGAAATCACACTATTGTTGCAAGGAAGACAGGACAGATACAGGCTATACAACATTATCTGACATTCTAACCCTAAAGTAGCCTGGTACTTAGTGTATTCTCCTCCCCCTCTGGTACTTAGTGTATTCTCCTCCCCCCCTCCTGGGGTTGCGGAAAGAAAAGAAAAAGTGTTGTTTAATTGGAACAACAAAACCTTAAACATTGTGCCAGCTATTTTTAAAGCAGGTACTAATACTGGTCAGGAATAAAATCAGTTTCTTTGCTGTTCTCTAGCTACTGATGCTCTTTCCTCCTCTTTGTAATATAGTTTCCATCTATCCATAGATCTGCTGGGAATTTCCACCATCATTAAATATTTAATAAGGTAGACACTGAGAATTGCATCCCATTGAAATAGCAAGTTAGCTAGTAGGTCTCTTTATTAATAACATACCTATTCGGAGAATGAACAAAATTATTAATAGAAAATCCATCCCATGCAATAGCAGCAATATCCCAAACTCCGTTTAGCCTTATCCACTGTACCAGGCTCATTTCTATTTGTAGATTTCCAAACCACACAATCTTAGATATAGCTTCTTTCAGAGCAGATATGTTATTCTGTGATTTGTTGTCTTTGATTTGATTCTCGAGTGCTTTGGTGGAAGTAGTATAATAGATGTTCAGGCTATTGGAAATCTACAATTATGTATAGCCTAGTAAGCCTCAAGAGTCCATCTGACATTGGTGCCGTGCTGTTGTACTAAACCTCATATGAGAATTAAGAATGGACCCCATCTTGTGAAGTATGCTGAGGTATATTTAGGGCCAGTTGTGTTTTCTCCGTATAATTTGATCATTTCTCTTTGCTCTTAGATTTATCAAAATATGCCATTTTATAGAAATACTACTTGGTACCAAAATGAAGTAATTCCTATCTGGTTTGGCACAACATAATTGTTAAATATGTTACAGTTATATCAGAGTGCAAAGACCAAGTGTTAGCGGTGTGTGCTTTGAATCTCATTCCTTACTAATTAAATGTGCCCATTTAAGAGGATTGAAGTTTTACCTTGATACTTAAGAACTTCAAGGTTGTCCCTAAAATAGTCACATCTGATTTATTGCTTTTTTAAAATTCCAGCCCCAAAAGAAAGGGATTCATATTTAATGCTTAACCTAACTTTCCAGTTATGATGGGGTCACTGCATAGTCTTTGGTAAGATCACTATTTAGAAATCTTTGAAATGTAAAGACACAAGATTGTTCATTGCACATCTGCAATGTGATGAAATAGATTAACTGCTGCATCTAAACCCCGAGAACAATTTTTGGGATTATTAAGTAAGTAACAATCTAATAGAAAGCTGATACCTGAAATGTAATGAAGATTGAGGACTGGGAAATTCAACTTCTCTTTTAAAAGGAAAGCTGACACCTTAAATCTGATAGGTAAACCTTTCCCAATGCATCTCCTGTCCAACTCCCCTCCCCCCCCCCAAAAAAAAAAAACTTTCAGAACAGTAAAGTGGATTCTAGTTATTTATTCAAAGTTGTGCCGTTAAACAGTGGATTAGCCACAAAACGTTTATAAGCACTTTCCAGCAGGCAACTTCATTTATCAATAAATCATTGGTTCTAATTTAGAGAATGTAAGTATTGTCTAGGTATGGGAAAGATATATTAGTAAAATGTTTATTTAGCTGTGATATTATAACAGCTGTCTTTCTCAAGGGTCAGCTTTTGTGTTCTTTATTTGTTAATTTAAGTGGAAAACCTTAATGATTCATTCATTCATTTAGTTATTTCAGTCTTTTAAAATAAGATGTGAGGTTTGAGGAATGCATTCAGAAGAACAGATCATGTCATGAATAGCCCCATTTAGAGCAGCTTAACCTTTTCACAAATCAAAAGTTGTGCCTTTTTTGTATATTACATACATCTGTCAAATAATTGCACACAAACTACTAGAACTATGGAATTAATTCACTGGATCAACACATTCTTTGTCATGATAGTAGATCAGTATGTGTATTTTAAGTTGCCTGTAACATTAGTAATTATCTATTTGCAATATCTGTTTTCCAGTGGAATGAACTGGCAACTATTTTAAAAAAAATTGTATAGTAAATTATTGCTACATTAAAAATACAAAGCAATTTTTGAGTGCTAAAACTATACATAAACCCATGCAACACTTTAAAAAAAGCATTAATATCACTAAATTAATAGTGTGTTTCAGAATTCTTAAATGAAGCTTTCATGTACCAAGAGGTATCCTAAGTTGACTTAAGCAAGAAGTTTAAAATATGTCATTGTGGTACTTTTCTCTTCATGCCTGCCAATAATACATGGCACATGGTGTAGCACAATTCCCTGCCCTTTATGCAAACGCTAAACCTGCTTCACCTGAATTTACAACTTTCAAGAAATGAAGGCTTTAAATGTGGTGTTAGGCAAGCACCGTAGAACAGCAGAATATCAGAAAAAAATATTACTCTATTCTCTCCTGATGAAAGGAACTGGAATAGGGTCACCAAGAAAAGAATCTGAAATCATACTAACTTGGACAAATTTTAAAATGAAGGGCTAAGTTAGCCTACTGTTTTGGGGACTAAACTGGTCACCAGCTGGGATGAGAGAGAAAATAAATCTATTCCTTTCCTCCCTCTGCCAATGGAGTAGCATTGCTCAGTTAGCATTCAACATTAGTCATTGCCAGAGAGGGGTTAACTGACTAAGTGGTAGACTTGTTCCAGTAAGACAATTATTGTGGTTCTTTGTTCTCTCATTAGGTTTTTCTGCTATACTCCATACTGAAATTCAGTGAAATTAGCCATAAACAATGATGGTACAATGTGGCCCTGTGATATTCGTCCAGTTACAAATCCAGGGAAGAATTCTTTCCTTGCCTGGGATACTCCAATTCGTAGTTACCAAAATAAGCTGTTGTAAAACCACAGCAGTTCTTGGTTCCAGTATAAGTCTGATGTACTCATGAAATTGTCCTAGCAAAGGAGTATGTAACATGACTTATTTATTTTCATTTACAGATTTCCACGTCCTTTTGAAATGGTCGGGCTAGGAAACGGCCGTCGAGGAATGAAATCTCCACCTCTTCTAATAGCTGCGCTTGTGGCTTGTATGATTGTTTTGGGTTTCAATTACTGGATTGCAAGTTCTCGCAATGTTGATCTACAGGTAGTATTCCTGTACTCCTTCCTGTAGTTTCAAATAGATATGGCTGCTAACAGTATTTATACTTGTGAACTGCGTGGGGAATACAGGTAGTATTCCTGTACTCCTTCCTGTAGTTTCAAATAGATACGGCTGCTAACAGTATTTATGCTTGTGAACTGTGTGGGGGGGGAAAAAAAAAAGAGCCAAGGCAAAACTTTTGAGTTTGTTCCTTGATAGTCCACTCCTAGCAGTTTCCCAGGAAAGGAGTGAAGAGAAGTGCACGTGAAAAGTGTTGCACTTGCAATAGCCAGTTCTGTCCAGGCAGTTTTGCAACTTTATGCTGCTATTATCATTCTGTAGAAAAGTTTTCTTGTTGTTAAATATTCAAGTGTGGTGTTTGGTTTTGGTTTGATTTTTTGATCTTTCTGAACATTACCACTAAAAGCAGCACATTTTTGCTTTCCATTTGCTACTGTCAACTTTTTTGTCTCCCAAACTTTTCCATGCCTGCTCCTGCATTGGTTCAGGGTCTGCTCAGCACATTATATGCAAGTAGCAGTTGATATTGGGCAAGCTAAAATGCAAAGTACCTTTCCCAGATTTGTATTCCTATCAGATGTAAGAAAAGCTCTTTGTACTTTTTCAGAGGGGTGTTTAAAAATGACATATTGGTGCTTTCTAAGGCAGAGATGTTTTCTTAATGAAGATTTTGACTGAGAAGTCTAAATTGGATTTCTCAAATTTACCTAATCTTGATATGTGGAAATATGGTGCAGAACAAGCTACTGCAGTTATACAAGGCAGAGTGAATGAATGCAGAGTAGTCCTTACTAAGGATGTTAAATTGCAGTTATTTTACTAGTTGAGTAATGGACTAGTCGATAGGCACGTCCACATTCCTCCTTTGAAATGTACAAGATCCCCTTCTGGGGCTCTTGTACATTTCAAAGGAGGAATACGGAACTCTGCATGCAGCCTGGGGCCAGCGGGAAGTCCCGCTGTCTCTGGGCTGCAGGCAGTGTGCCAGCTTTGAAATGGACAAGAATCCCCAGCAGGGGCTCTTGTGCATTTCAAAGTGGAAGTACACTCATGGAGCCCGGGGCCAACGGGGGACTTCCCAGCTGATCCCAGGCTCTGTGTGGCATTTCCCCAGAACCCGGGGTCAGCTGGGGACTCCCTAGCTAATCCTGGGTTCTGTGGAAATGCCGCTTAGAGCCTGGGGTCAACTGGGGAGTTTCCAGCTGACCCCAGGCTCCAGGTGGCACTGCCGCTTTGAAATGCCACCTCTGTGTTTCAAAGGGGCAGTACCTCACAGCTGAGCCAGGGATCAGCTGTGAGGCGCTGCCCCTTTGAAGTAGACCCTTCCCTCCCCCCTCCACTTTGCTGCCTCTATCTGATGGAGGCAACAAGGTGGGGAATTACCAAGTCGACTGTCTGATAAGCATTTGCTTATCAGATAGTTGATTAGTCTCTAACATCCTTAGTCCTTACGGTCTTTGTTAGCTGAGCTGGGGCTTTTTAAATGCTCATTGACCTTACAATCTGAGATCATTGGGGCTCCACATACATGATCTTAGTTTTCTTTGTAAACCTTGCTGAGACTCGTATTGTTGGCTGTTCTGCAGAGACAATGAATGTTCATTCTTAAACTAGCTAATGAAGTTCTGCAGGGGTTCTGAACAGTTGGATCTAATTGCAAGACTGGTGTCTCTAGCCAAGCTGTTCTTGAGTTATGACATTCTTCCTTTTTAACATTGAATGCCCTGGATTATTTTTCCATGATGAACCCCTTATTTGATGACTGTCACGGCTATGGGATAACTGCACTTCTATCCCCCATTCCATGCTTCTCTTCCAGGAGTTCTGTGTCAGGTCTTAGATCTCCAGCCATTACCTGTGTCTGCGTATGGACCCAGTTCCCACTCCCTTCTGACTAGGAGTGGTTCAAGGCTGCACAGCCACTTGCATGCACTCTGCTATCCCTATCAAGCCAGTGTTCCTAAAGCCAATGCCTGCACTTTTCTTTCTCTCCGAGGGCTCTAAACTGTGTATTGTCAGCAGTTACAAGTGACCATGCTGCTCTTCCTAAGCAAGCATCTTTATTCGTAGGGTGAAAGCGTTTTGGAGAAAACATTTAAAAAAAAATCCCACAAAAGTTACTATATACACACTGAAAGCATTGGTCTTATGGGTAGGCCAGATCTTTGCAAACTTTCTGTAAGGGTCGGTGCCTTGGACAGATGATCCTGAGACAGTTTAAATGCATCCTTTTTAAGCCACAAGACTTTTCTTAGTTTTCCTATTTTGGGGAAACCCAGTTTGAATCAGTATATGGAAACGTCCCTGGGGAAGGGGATAGTACCTGTCTGGTGAAGAACACTGTCATACCTACCAGTCGTGACCCACAGTGATACATAAACTTAATACAAGATGTTCCCTCAAGATAATATATGTAATTACAATATCTCCCACGCTTTCTTCTAAAAATGCTCAGAGTGGCACACCAGAGTTATGCTGGGTAGATTGGTTCATTTCTGGTGAAGCTGGGGAAAGAATTCTCAAACTAGGTCTGTAACAGAAAATTCTTCACAACTTTGTCTATGGAGCAGATGTTGGATCTTCAGAGTTTACTGAACTTTTAACTGGATTGATAGCCCTAGAAATTGAAGTCCCCTTTCCTGCAGAACTGGTACCATGCTATGTCATGTCTTAATGTAAGGATAAAGTTTTCACCACTGCTCTGCTACTGTGTTTTACCCATTCCCCGAGGACAGAATGTCTCATCTTCTGGAAAGAGGTTAATTCAACCTCTGGGATCCATCAGTCCCTGGCCTCTTTCTGATACTGGTTACTTATTTATTAACAGCTGGGTTGAGACCATTAAGTCATGACACAGGCCACAAAACTGATGACAGCGGATCAAAAATCATTACTGTCTTGGGTCACGCTTGATTCAGTAACCTGGAGGTCAATTTGTCATTATTGATTGTCCTTGCCGTGCAGTGCTTTTCCCCAATGCAAATGTAAAATTATTTTCTTCCAATCAACCATAGCAAAGCGCTGGCAGCAGTACGAAAAGAAGCACCATTCATATTTTAAGGGTTGGACTGCACTTAGAGTGTTTTAGAAAGTAATACTATTTATTCAGCCAGTTTTTTGGCAGGACTTTAGTGCTATACTGACTAAGATGGAATTAGTTTTCTCTGCTCCTGCAGTTTAATCATGAAAGTTTTTCTTTTTCCATTCTCTCATCTACTGTAGTAATTGCAATGTAGGAGTTTAATCCCAGCTGCTGAGGGTAGGCAAGTGGCTTCTTTAAATATGGCTTTATCCAGCAGGGAAGGCTGTGAAATTACAAAGCTAGAACCCTGCCATTGAGGACTCGGTAGATAATATGATTTTGATACATCCCATTAAATTCCAAATGGACTATGAAGTTCATTCTGAGGCTGTAGATGTTTTCCTCAGCTTGACAAATGCTCTTGAGACTTTTGCCCTTTTCCACCCTGCCACCTCCAAAGTCTACAGAATCTGGCAGTTACAGAGATTAGAAGTACGTAAATGACTCTTGGATAACAAGCAACAGAACATATGAGGTACACCCAGAGTGTCCTGCAAAAACTGAATCAATTCTTAAAAACCAAACAAACCCCAAATCTGCAGACTTAACTCCTTGACCTATTCTTAAGGGGCCTCTTAATAGAAATGGCATATTACATTGCAGACTACTTGTAACCCATTGAGCTATCTTAAAGGTATTTTATGTAGTGGCAATGCAAGAAATCTTCAGATCTAGATTCTAGACCTAGATTTGACACTAGTTTAAACTTTTTTAATGGGTTGAAACATTTGTATTTATTAATTATACTAATACAATTATTTAAAACGTTGCTTTGCCCATCATGGGAGTATTGTCATTGTGCACAGTGGAATTGCCAGACAGACATTGAACTTAATTTGGCTGTGCCTGATTCTGGGACCAAATCCTTTTATACCCTTAAATCTAAGTAGTGACTAATTGGAAATGTGATAGACTGAAAATCCATAACAGATTAATCAGATTTTCTCTGCACAAAAAGTTTGAAGTCCTATCAGACACAGAAACACTCCTTGTAACCCTGATTTATAGGAGCCATTTATATTTGTCTCGTTTATCTGCTTCTTTTCAGAGTCGGATTATGGAACTGGAAAGGAAAGTCCGCAGGGCGGCAGCAGAGAGAGGAGCTGTTGAACTAAAAAAGAATGAATTCCAAGGAGAACTAGAGAAGCAGCGAGAGCAGATAGATAAAATCCAGTCCCTCCATGGTTTTCAGTTGGAAAATGTCAATAAAATGCACCAGGATGAGAAGGTAGGACTTCTTCAAACTGTACTGTTGGCCTTAGAATGCAACTTTCTCATTGTTACCATGTATAGCATGTTATTCTCTGTAAGGAAATAGGATTATTTAAATCTTTCAGATAATACAAAAGCAATCATGCAGCCATCACTACAACAGTTTGAACCTCTCTAGTCTGGCACCTTTGGGACCTGACCAGTGCTGAATCATAGAATTTGCTGAGCTATGGGAGGTCAATGTTGTCTAGCAGCATGACCAACACTTCTACTGCTTACTGGGCTCTTAGAAGACGCTTAGGGGCAAATTAGAGCTAAATAACAGCACTGAACACTGAGAGCCGGGACTGATGGCTGTACACAAACTTTATGGAACTGCAGGAAACTTGGCCACATGCTTGATAAGTGAGTATCCAGCTAACTAAACTCTTGCTGGATCACAGATGTTACTGGACTAGAGAGGTTCAGCCTGCAGTGGCAAAATGTGTAGTGCTGAAAAAATGGAATTCTAACACAGATCTCTAGTATTCAGGGTTGTAAAAGAAATGTTGAATAATTTTTAATGAAGAAAATAACCTTTCATTGGTGATAAAATGGAGGCAATACATCAAAATCTGGTGTCTCATGAAAGCATTACATGCAATTATAATACAACACACATAGCACGTGCTGCTGACACGCAGGGCACATCTTGACTACGTTTTTCTTTCAAAATAAAATATGCACATTTGGTGCAAATTTGCATATCTTCTTCTGATCACTTTTTCAAAAGAGGTTTTTTCGAAAAAGGAAGCAGTCTAGACTTGGTTCTTTTGGAAAAAAAAAGCCTTTTTCGAAAGAACCCTTCTTCCTCAAAAAATGAGGTTTACAGTGTTCTTTCAAAAAAGGGTTTTTTTTCTAAAGAACCACATCTAGACCGCTTGCTTTTTCGAAAAAACCTCTTTAGAAAAAGTGATTGGAAGAAGATAGGCAAATTTGCCCCTAATGTGCATATCTTCTTTCAAAAGAAAAACATAGTCTAGACATGCCCTCAATAACATTTTAGAAGTTATAGGAGGAGTTTTAAGGAGCCCTTACTTAGCATTGATCAAATTCTGCTCTTGTTTATCTTGTTTTGATAAAACTAACTTAACCTGGCCTCATGCTCCTGTGCATCATCATCAGGATAAATACCAAAGAGTTACAGTCTCTTTGCAGGTTGAACATCACCTGGATCAATGTGTGGTTAGGTTTTTAAGGTGGTCAGGCTGGACATTCAGTTTATGTCCATCACTGCCAATACTAGCACACCACAGAAACTTTTGGTGCCCTTGTAGTTGCTCACCATATGGAGGCTTTCCATGGTAAACATGCTTTAGAATCCTTTGGTTTTCCGTTTTAATAATATATCCATACCAAGAAAGCTGGTGGAAACCCAGCTGGCGCTGATGGAGCTAGTTTTGAATAGCCTCATTTCTGATCTTGTCCTGCCACTTGCCATGGAGCAGCTGATGATGACAATGAGAAATGAAAACATAAATCCCAGTGGTCTTTTGTCTTTCTCAGCACCTACTTTGCATGTGCAGCAGCAACTGGTGTAACTGTGGTTCTCTGGCTCTGCAGCTTTATGGCAAGCTTGATGTCATGACATCTCCACAGAGGCCTCTGCCGGGATGGAAACATGGCAGCAACTTCTGCTAAAGGAGTGTTCCAACATTATCTGTGTCTCTGCCCAAATATTTGATAGTTGTCCCATGCTCAGCATGTCATCTGGATAGGTTCATCATGACCAGCTTGTAATCAACGATCAGGGACTTAGTTTTAACTGGATAAAAAGCCAAACTAATGTGTGCGTCTCTTGCCTGACAAGATTGGCCTTCTGCTGAAGCCATTTGCCTGACTGAGCAAACAAGATGATGCCATCAGTGTTTTCAGGATCTCAAAGTACAGTGGGGTTCAAGTCACTGTCACCGATAGCTGCTTCCTCAAGCTTATCCATCAACTCGCCAGTGCCGCTATTGAACAACGATGGTGACAGCATGCAGCCTTACTAAATAAATGGAAATAGGAATCTACCATTAATTTGAACAGTGCTCGCCGTTCCACTCCAGAGCTCTTTTGTCAAGGATACCATCTTTCCAGGCGGTGCAGATTAAATCCTACAGACTTGCTTTTGATGCACTGAATCAGAGGCCTGATGGAAGTCTATAAAAAACCCACTGTGCATGCTTATTAAATTCAGCCTCAAGGTAAAAATCTGGTTGACAGTGGAATGACAGGTCTAAATCTACACTGAATCCCAGCCTTTGCCACAGAGTGCTTTGTCTCGAATTAGCACTGACGTGGAAGTGATGTGTTTTCCCTGGAACTGACAGCAGCTTAGTACGAGGGAGGTTAATAGTTAACCAATAAGCTTAGCCTATTAAGTTGCCAGTGGCCCACCCCCCTCCCCCTGCCCGCTCTGCGGCAGGGGGTTGCTCCAGTCCTGTGGGGCCTACCATCATGGGGGCTGCTCCAGCCCAGCTGCGGTGTGTGGGGAGGTGTTCCAACTCATCCAATGCAGCCCCTGACCATGACAAGGGGAGACCACTCCAGCCTGCCCATGGCCCCGCAGCCCACCCGTCCTGTTTAATCTGTTAAAAGTAATGTTTAACAGATTAACTAATTAAACAGGATTTTACATCTCTATTTGGTACTGCTGCATTTAGCTTAATGGCCTATATATTAATTTCTAAAACTAAAAAATAGCAGTTAGATTTATAGGAATGTTTGTACTTGCATAGATGGTAATGATTCTTATACGTATATGAAGATCTTGCCCATCATGTTGTGCCCTGACTCACCTCTCCCAAAACCCAGTTTGATTAGCAAAAAAGCTCAGAAGTATTTAGATACTTTTACAGAGGAACTAGAATCTGTGGATTTTGAATGCTTGGGACCTGCAATACTGTTTTAACAGATGGAAAATGATATGAAAAATAACACACATCTACTTTTCAATAATATTATGGCAATATTTAAATACAGCTTTTCTCAGCCTTTTGTTACTAAAGTTCATTAGGGAGGTGTTCCTTCCTCAAAGATTTCTGTTGGAAAACATTCCTGTGTGGGGCCATTTGTCCTTACTTTCCTCAGTGGAGATACCACTGTTTGCATCTCTGAAGGTACAGCGCCTCGCTCTCGATTTTTGGTATCCACTCATGTTCCACTTCTGCGTCTCAAGCAGCGCACTTAAGTAATATAGCCAGAAAAATTAAATTTCATGTTGCCTAACACAGAGACATTGGCACTTACGATAGTTTTGAAGTAATGTGAACTCTTGCATTTTACAGTTCCTTCCCTTTGGCAGATTCCCTCTGAACTGTGGGAAGATTGTTAGACTTCTTTTTCCAAAATGTTTTCCTTTAAATAGTACCTCCTAAAATGCAGGCCTCTAACTTTCAGTAATGGAACACTCCCTAGGGTCTCTGCTGTAAAACTATAAGGCCAGACTTATAGCCTATGCTGAGTGAACAGTAACACACTGGGCTCTCTGCGGTCCTCTGCCTTTTCAAACAGAGAGTAGTGTGTTCTGGCATCCTAGTACTGGAAGGTGTGTGTGCCTGTTGCACTTTCCAACTTTTCCATGGAAATCAGTTTGTAGATGTGACCTGTTCAGATTCTGCAGCTTTAGATGAGAGGCTGGGGCGATTTTCATGGCTCTGTACTCCCAACTCCCCCCTCCCCTCCCTGTGTTGGAGATCTTAGCACAAGATCATACTGACTAAGCTGACATGGGTTCCCCCACTGCAGATCTGAAACCCTTCTGGCGAGGGAAAGCCAATGAAAGCATGGCTGCTCCAGCAGTGTATTGCTCTGCAGTATTGTCTAAGGATGTTAAGTAATGGTTAATTGACTAGTCGATGGAATTTCCATCAACTAGTCGATAAGCACTTCTGCATTCTTCCTTTGAAATGTACAAGAGCCCGGGATCAGCGCTCATGGAGCCTGGGGTCAGCTGGGGACTCCCCAGCTGATCCCAGTTCCGTGGAAATGCAACGCTAGAGCCCAGGATCAGCTGGGCTCCACGTGTGCAGCCTTGGGACACCCCAGCTGGCTCTGGGCCACATGCAGCATTTCAAAGCGACAGCGCCGCATAGCTGATCCTGGTCTCAGCTGTGTGGCGCTGCTGCTTTGAAGTACCCCTCTCCTCCCCTCCCTTTGCTGCCTCTATCTGATAGAGGCAGCAAGAGGGGTGGGGAGGGAATCGAGTAGTTGATTGAATAGCTGATAAGCAAATGCTTATCAGGTAGTCTACTAGTCCTTAACATCCCTAGTATTGACCTTGGTCCCCAGGAACCCCAATATACAATGGTTCTGTGAACCAAACTCCCTGTCATTGTGGGGACGGTGAGCAACCCTGCCCTGTGGTGAATAAGGAAGAAATGGAGTCTAGTTCAGTTTCCTTGTTCCTGGGAGGGAATGCCGTTCATAAAAGAACACTTAACCCTTTATGGGAAAGCTTATAAATCAATACATTACTGCCTTTCTTCTCTCAAAGCAGTGGGTATTGAAATGCTTTGACTGAGAGAAGAGTAATGCCTTTGCAGAAGGAAAAGTGCTCAGAAGACATGCTCTCTTACCCAGAAATTCCCAGTCCTAGATTTTGCAGTTAACGTGCAGTATGGCTCACTAACTCCTATTCCAGGCTGTTCTGTGAATGATCAGCACTTCAACAAAAACTTGATTGAAAACAAAAAGTATCTGGTGTGTGTGTGTGTGTGTGTGTGTGTGTGTGTGTGTGTGTGGATTTATATTGATTTATGTTTTATGTTTTTGCAGGGCATTTTTATTTATATTGATTTATGTTTTTGCAGGGCATGTGATTGGGGGGGGGAGGCAAAATTGGGGTGTTCCATAGGTCTGGGAGAGAACAGATCTTTGGGCTATAAATTGCTTTTACCTGACCAAACTCACAGGTAGCATGCAAGGCCAATCAATTGTTGCAGTTATTTATTATATATACTATTTTTCATTTAACTATCCTTCTGTCTGCGT